AAATGTAGTGTTGTTCACGTTGTGGTATTTACTTATTGTTGAATAACATAAAGTTAATATTTAGATATAGCAAACTAACAAGTAATAAGGCCGAAAAAGCAGAGCCGATGTGGTCTGTGCTGGCGTAGTTGGTAGAGTGGTGGCTTCATACCAAAAGGGTACCGAGTTCGAATCATACATCAGGACAAAAAACAGTAGTGTTGTTCACGTTGTGGTATTTACTTATTGTTGAATAACATAAAGTTAATATTTAGATATAACAAACTAACAAGTCAGAAGACCGAAAAAAAGCGGAGCCGATGTGGCCTGTGCTGGCGTAATTGGTAGAGTGGTGGCTTCGTACCAAAAGAATACCGAGTTCGAATCATACCATAAGGAAAAAAAAAACAGTAGTGTTGTTGACGTAGTGATATTTACCTTATGTTGAATAATATAAAGTAAATATTTAGATATAACAAACTAACAAGTCATATACCCAAAACAAACCGGAGTCGATGTGGCCTGTGCTGGCGTGGTTGGTAGAGTGGTGGCTTCGTACCAAAAGGGTACCGAGTTCGAATCATACCTCAGGACAAAAAACAGTAATGTTGTTGATGTGGTGGTATTTACTTAATGTTAAAAAACATGAAGTAAATATTTAGATATATCAAACTAACAAGTCATAAGACCGAAAAAAACCACAGTCGATGTGGCCTGTTCTGGCGTAATTCGTAGCATTATGGTCTAATACCCAAAGGGTGCCGATTTCGACTCATACCTCCGGACACAAAACGTAAAACGTTGTGGAACGACAGATGCACGGTATCATATCCGTTCGAATTTGGAACCCCAAGTACGCTCCCTCGGTCTCTATCGTTAAAAAACTGGGTGTATTACGGGGGGTCGGTGTGCGAGTCTCCGGGGATGTGTGAGGAGGAAATGAAGGGAGCACAGAGAAGAGGGGTGAGAGGGAAAAGAAAAGAAAGGAACTGACAGAGATAGCGGTAAAGGGGTTGCTATGGCAACAAAAAATACGGTTTAAACCGTTGCCAAAGCCTAGCATTTTTGCCTAGCAACCGTTACTATGTAACCGTTAACCGCTAACACAAAATTTCCAGCAAGATTTTTTTGCGATTCTTTGCCTAGCAACCGTTACCACAAAATTTTCAGTAAAATTGTTTATTTTGCGATTCTTTGCCTAGCAACCGTTACTATGTAACCGCTAACACAAAATTTCCAGCAAAACTATTTTGCGATTCTTTGCCTAGCAACCGTTACTATGTAACCGCTAACACTAAATTTCCAGCAAAATATTTTGCGATTCTTTGCCTAGCAACCGTTACTATGTAACCGTTAACACAAAATTTTTAGCAAAATTTCGCGATTTCTTTGCCTAGCAACCGTTACTATGTAACCGCTAACACAAATTTTCAGTAAAATTGTTGCGATTCTTTGCCTAGCAACCGTTACCACAAATTTTCAGTAAAATTGTTTATTTTGCGATTCTTTGCCTAGCAACCGTTACTATGTAACCGCTAACACAAAATTTCCAGCAAAACTATTTTGCGATTCTTTGCCTAGCAACCGTTACTATGTAACCGCTAACACTAAATTTCCAGCAAAACTATTTTGCGATTCTTTGCCTAGCAACCGTTACTATGTAACCGTTAACACAAAATTTTTAGCAAAATTTCGCGAACTTCTTTGCCTAGCAACCGTTACTATGTAACCGATAACACTAAATTTCCAGCAAAACTATTTTGCGATTCTTTGCCTAGCAACCGTTACTATGTAACCGTTAACACAAAATTTTTAGCAAAATTTCGCGAATTTCTTTGCCTAGCAACCGTTACTATGTAACCGCTAAAACAAAATTTTCAGTAAAATTGTTGATTATTTTGCGATTCTTTGCCTAGCAATCGTTACTATGTAACCGTTAACACAAAATTTTCATCAAAATTATTTCGCGAATTTCTTTGCCTAGCAACCGTTACACAACACATTTCCCCCTCACGGCACTCGGGGTGCGAGAGGGGGATTCGCACACCGACTCACCCAGTTTTTTAATCCAGGCTCGGTCGTCGCGCGGAATCCTGGCTCCCCCTCCTTTTTTTGTGGGTAGGACCACGGGGGGAGGGCGCGTTTGCAAACCCCACACACCCTATTTAATATTCCCATCTCCCCCCTGTTTCGGGATGCTGCGGGTTTCACTACTCTCCTCTCGATCGAGAGAGCATACCCGGCGTTCCAAATTCGAACTATTTTCGACCAAATTCGGCTATTTTCTGTCTGTGTTCTGAGGGATGAATCGAACTCGGTACCCTTTGGGTATGAAGCCATCAGGCTTACCAATTACGCCAGCACAGGCCACATCAACTCCCCTTTTTTTCGGCCGTATGACTGTTAGTATGTTATATCTAAATATCAACTTTATGTTATTCACCAATAAGAAGTAATACTACAACGTGAAACAACACACTGTTTTTGTCTGAGGCGTGGTTCGAACTCGGTACCCTTTGGTACGAAGGCACCACTCTACAAATTACGCCAGCACAGGCCACATCAAACTGAAGTTTTTCGGCCTTAGTGACTTGTTAGTTTGTTATATCTAAATATAAATTGGTGTTATTCAACCATAAGTAAATACCACAACGTGAAACATCACTGCTGTTTTTGTCCTGAGGTATGATTAGAACTCGGTACCTTTTGGCACGAAGCCATCACTCTACCAACTACGCCAACACAGTCCATACCAACCAACTTTTTTTTGGCCATATGGCCTGTTAGTTTTTTTTTCGTTTAAATATACAATATCACCTAGTTTGTAGCAGGGTCTTAATGTTGATCGTTGTGGCGGCGCGGGGTGGGAGGGGAGTCACTGGAGTGGACGGGGTCGCAGGTTCGAGCCATGGAGAGGGTAAAGCAAGGTAAGAATATCAGTTTTTAAACGTAGGTACGCATTAGGTTAAGGTAGTGTAAAGTTAGTAAGGTAGTGAAAAGTAAGGTAGGAGATGTAGCGTAAATATGGTAGGGAATATTAATGTATATAATTAGGCGAATAAAAATAGGGGATATATTAATATTAATAAAATTTCCCTGTGCAAAAGAAAAAAGCAACACAAGATTTGAGGACTTTAATTTTTTTTAAGTAAAACTGACCAATATTTGAAGTAGTATATTAATTCAAATGAAATAATTAACACTTTCAATAATATAGTGAGTGAAAAATGTAGATATTGCGGGATTTAATTATTAATAATTACGATGCAGTAAGCACAGCGTGCGTATAAGTTGTAAAAAATATATAACTTATCAAAGCAACACAAGATTTGAGGACTTTAATTTTTTTATAAGTAAAACTACCAAATATTTGAGTAGTATATTAATTCAAATGAAATAATTAACACTTTCAATAATATAAGTGAGTGAAAAATGTTAGATATTGCGGGATTTAATTATTAATAATTACGATGCAGTACAGCACAGCGTGCGTATAAGTTGTAAAAAATATATAACTTATCAGCAGTATTGCACAGCGAGAGTTATAAATGGAAAAAATTATAACTTATAAGTAGCCATCTACCCGTAAAAACTTGTATAAAGTCGGTTCAAACATGTAAAAAACTACATTTTCACTTAATTAAATTTTAATTAAACCCCTGGAACATTTAGGCGACGCGTCCTCCGGATCACGGATATGCGGACCTCTCAAACACTGCGATCGCAATGTAATGAGAGGATTGCCCACAGAATGTGCGAAACTCTCTCGGATCTCAGGGCGAGTGAGAGTATAACTCGCGCGGGGGGGTGGGGCACAGTCATCCGGTGGCGTAGAAGCGGACAGACACAAAAAAAAACGATTTTCATATTATATAAGCCTAATAATGTTCCTAAAACACTATAAAATAGCGATTTAGTAAGATTTTAATTGATATATAATTTTGTTCATTACATGATTTTCGTTAAATGTATTTTTTGAAGATATTAGCAAAAAATGATGAAAAACGCAAAAACAAATTTCAGTAGCCAGTAACTTGAAAAGTATTTGTTTTTTTGAAAAACTTATAAACACATTTTTCTCTATAATTAGTTCTTTTATCGATACCCAACGTATCGATTAGTCGTTATTTTGAAAAAAGTAAAATTACACCACTGAAAAGAAATGTCATCCACCCGAGAAGTGGTAAAGGAGTCTGAATTGTTTTCACTTGTGAAGAGTAAGATGAACCTAGTTCCAAAATTCCAAACGAAATGGAAAACAGTAAAAAAAGTTCAGACCGAAAGCGCTCCATTGAGTAAATATTCCGTACCCAATGACAATAATATGAATTTTTGACACAATGAAACTTCTAAATAATTTTTTTTGTATTGTGACTTTGTATAGTAAGGCAAAACGACTGCAAATTTAATATTTTTGAGCGCAATCACTTATGGCTCGTCTCCTTTGCACGAATTCGTACGGCGAATCTGTTCGCAAAGTGCGCAGACAAAATGATTACGCGTACGTTGAGAAAACGATTCGCCGTGCGCGTCAGACGCATGCGCAGACTGCATCACTTGTCACATGCATGTTATATTATTGCATCAGTTTTGGCACATCTCAACTGCTTTTCGGCATTAATAATGTAGACATTATATTTCCCTTATCATAATCATGAATTTATGATATTTTAATATTGCCTTAGCCTATAAGTGAACAGAAATGTTTGGCAAATGACAGTCTTCAATTGTTTTTAACAGTCTTCAATTGTTTTTAATGTCAAACTAAGCTTCAAATATTTTCAAGGGCAAACAATGATAAGCGGTTTTTTGTAATTTTTTCCATTTATTTCTACAATCTAACTATACTTCTATGAATCAAAACATTCTAAAAAATTTCCCGAACAAACTTCAGGAAGATTCATGAAAATCCGAATTATAGTTTAGGAGGAATTATGAAACTTACGTTGTTACAGAAGAATTTTATATATATATATATATATTATATATATATATATATATATATATATATATGATATATATCAGAATATTCCCAAAGGATATATTGTAGCAAGCTTTTCTGGCAAAAGCATAAAACTTTCATTAATAAGATTAATTTCATCATACAAAATTGCTTGAAGATATAAAATGTCTCTAATTTTGCTATAAGCATTATCTAATTGTAGATAGTACATCACTTTGTCTAACATATTTGCACATTTACGTAATGTATAATCTTTAGATGTGGTGTTCTCCATTATAGCAGATGCAATAGTACATTTGGTGAATAACAGTAATGATCTGGCTATATCAAAATTGCATCCGTTCGCAAGCACACATGGTATAACTCTGTTTATTATTTTTAAGGCCTGATTTGGTAAGTTCATTTCTAGCTGTATTGATGCAATTTTCATTTCTATCATTGCAGAATTAAAATCTAAGTAGTTGCTACAAGATAACACAAGTGCACAATTTAGTTTTGCAATAGTTTCGCCAAGCATATAAAAAGAATTGCATTCCACTTGCGCACTGAGCCTCAAAGCTCTGACTTTGTATTCAACAAAGTTCTTTAGTTCTATATCGCTTTCACAATTATCTATAATTTGGTTGATATAAAAATTTGCAGTAGGTAAATCTACATAAAATATATTTAATTTAGCCTTATTTACTAAACTTTCCCACATATTCAAAGGTACCAATAGATTTGAACTAATATCTGCATCTTGCCATTGATCTAAAATAGACAACAAAACTTATGATAAACTCAAAAAAATTGTCAGGTTTTAAATTGGATTCCTGAATATGTTCAAAATTTCTGAAGACGAAAGACCAGCGTTGTTAGTATCTGTCAATTTTATGTCTAAAGATTTTTTCAAAATACCTTCAGAATTTTCGGCGAAGACATACGAAACGACTGAAAAAATTTGCACTTAATCGCTATTTATAAAGACGCGGCTCGGGCTGATTGTCGCGCAAAACCAATCAACGCGAGTCCTAAATAAGTTTTTTCAAATGGCGTTTAAATATATTAAATCGGTGAAGCCGTTTTAGAAACTTATTCCAGTTGTTAAATGACTCAAAATAACTGAAATAAGCAATAAAAAACATAAAAATTAATAAATCTGAATTTTTGTAGAAAACAAACTAATTGGAAAAAATAAGAATCAAATTTCCTACAACATTTTTTTTGAAAATACAGCCTTAGAAACATATTTAGAAACAAAGGTACTAAATATTTAATTTATAAGTTCCAATATTACCTGAATGCACGTGATGCTCAAAACATAAAACCGATTGCATTTGCATCCAGCTTGAAGTTAAAGGTTCCCTCCGACATCTATCACGAGCATGCTCCAGAACAAGGTTAGCATGATGATATGGCAAAGAACTCGCGGCCCTACATATGGCAATACAAACACCTGTAATCAGAATACTTTAAAAATAAAAATTTAAAATACATTAAAACGTATTTGCATTACTATTATTTTAAATTGTTGATACTCATATACATACCTTCACCATTATAAGGATAACTTCCTTGAGTCATATAACTTGTATTTAGATGTAATAATAGTTGGGAAAATATATTTGCCATATCAGTCTTTCCATATAATTGCCACAGAGCTGTCTTTTGCGAGTAACTATTACTCATTAAATCTACCATTGAATTTTGACAGTTTAGTAAATCACTTTTACGCATTATCTGCAAATAAAATTTATTTAAGAAAAAAAAGTATAATCAAAATAATTTTCATTCATTAACTAATATTTTTTGTAAATGGTTAATTTTATATTAATATCAATTAAAAGCAAGCATATGGAAAACAATGTATTTTTTAAAGAATACAATTACAATTGTAATTTTAAAAAGCTGCTCAGATTAGTGGTAACATCCGAAAGGAGAAGTTCGTTTTCATAAAAAAATCCGATTCGCTAAAATTATGTTTTCTAGACGAGCCACTCTGAATCGAATGAGACCAAAATTTGGAAAAAGTATTTGTGTATGTAAACAGATTTTTTGCCGTTTCGACGGTTTCTCAAAAACGGCTGGACCGATTTCAAAAATTTAAAAGACATTCGATGTATCTCGATGAGGAATAGCGTTTATCAATTTTGCGCTACGATCAGCCAAGCCGTTTCTTTATAAATAGCAGAAAAGTGAAAAAAAAATCGACCACGTTTTAGGCCGCAATTCCAATAGATTTTGACAAATCAAAAACCGTTCGAAAGATGTTGGGAAATCGACCTGATTAGTTTTTGGTAAATAACAGCCGGGGCGTTTTCTTGTAATAAAGTGTTAAAAAAGAAATTTCGACAATTTTTATAATTTTTTTTTACGGTAGATACCATAGTCTTATAGATCATCCTAAAATATTACGGCCATACGACAAATCGTTTAATTTTAAAAATTCTTCAAAGTTTGCAAAAATTAGTATCGTTTTTTTGGCGATTGTCAAAGTAAGAAGTTTGATTAAAAATCGGCATAGAAGTTTGAAAAAACGCTTGAACCGATTTCAAAAATTTACAAGTCAATCGATGTATTTCGATTGGTTGGAATGATACTAATTAGTTTTAGGCAGTGGCGGATTAAGCTCTCTGCAGCCCTAGGCCCTATCACTTCAGGCGCCCATTTTAATAGACAAAATATTACTTTTTTAATTGATTTTTTTTAAAATGATTTAAATATAATTTTTTAACTTTGCGTAGGGTAAGTTATATTAATCGTAAATGAATCGAAAATGGTATTTTTTTCTTATCTTCACGTTTTAAGTCCTTCTGAACATTTTGGTATACCTCAAAATGTGTATGTGTGTATGTATGTTCGATCCCAATGATTCTGATTAGTTTTTCGCTAAGGCTGGTCCAGCTGTTTCAAAAATACGAAGCAAAAAGTACAAATAGAAATCAGAACCTTATGCCATGAATCTTTTCCTTATGTCGTATTTTTGTAGATGGTAACCCGACTGTTGATCCTTTCATATTTGATTACTTCGTTATTAGAAATTATCTACTAGGGCTGACTTATTATTAACTTCCCGAAGAAGCACTTTTTATTAACTTCCCGAAGGATTTTTTTTGTTTTTTTTTTTTGCAAAGCAATGTTAACAAAATTTGTACTTATTTTAAAGTATCTGATAATTTGATGTGCGTATGTCCAATGATTATTTTTCACCACCAAGTGTTATTTTTATAACTTTTTTCTGGATCTTCATAACCACTAAACCAGCCTTCCCAAAAATTAGTTAATTCTTCATTTCGTCAATATGAGTAAATTTGAGTAAATGAGAGAGATTTGAATCTTTCAAATCGGACGCTCCGTTCTCTCAAAAAACGAATTTCCCTATCAGTAGGAATCGAATGTTTCTTGGATCATGCAAATCGGTTGATCCGTGCTTTCGAAACCGTGGATGAAAATTAGTATTCGCACTTATAAACTTCCATTTTTTCTAAGCCACAGATGTTTAGGAACCTTTAAAACGTAAAGATATGCAAAAAAAATATTTTCGATTTATTTGCGACTACTATAACTTACCCCGCGAGAAGTTAAAAATGAAAACCAAATTTGTACTGATTAATAAAATTTTTGTAAAAAATCTGATAATTTGGTGTGTAAAATTGATCATTATTAACCACCAAATGGCACTTTTTTGTATCATCAAAAACGCAAAAATTTAGTCAATTCTTCATTTCGTTGCACAAGTAAAATGTGTTTTGAACTTTTCAATCGGATAGAGAATGAAGCTCCCTAAAAAATGAATAGCTATTTTTTATCATTTTGCCTCCTATTCCGAAATGGGTAAACCTGTCTTTACTAAAAACTAATCAGGACATCTTCCCGACAATTGAATCATTCCAATGGTTGATTCGTAACCGCAAATACACATGCATACATCCATTTTTCCTAAGGTATGCCAAAATGTTAAGAAGGTTTTGAAACGTAAATATTTATAGTCAATTGCATTTACGTTTAATTTCTCGAATTACTATAACTTACCCTTACCCGTGAAGGAAATGCCAATTAGTGTTCAAATATGATCAATGAACCTAAGCACACCAAATTGTCAGATATTTTAGTTTAGGTTCAGTTTTATCATATAGAATTCATTTTACGAACCAAGAAATAATTAAATTAACACAAAATAACAATCAATATATTATAATAATTCCCGAAATAAAATAGAAACTATTTAAAACCATTTTAAAGCGTTTTATATGTAAGATTTACCTCAACAAAGTTTTTTCCAAAATGATTTCTCCAAAAAAAGCTTATCAATTTCATAATTTTTATTTTAAACATGATATATCAATAAAAATATTAATGAGGCGCCCTCGAATAAGTTTGATTAGAAAATGAATAGATGAGAAATGAAAAAGCCAACTGATATCTTTCGAACAGTTTTTGAATTTACAAAATGGGTTTAGAATTGTGGACTAAAACGTGAACAAAAAATCACACTTTTCTGCAAATTACAATAAAGCGGCTCGGCCGGTCGTCGCGCATAATTGATAAACGCTAATCCATATCGAGTTACATGAAACGGTTTTTAATTTCCCGTAGGGTAAGTTATAGTAACGGACCGAAAATCAAAAATGAAAATTTTTGCATATCTTCACGTATCAGAGGTTTCTGAACCTTTTGGCATACCTCAGAAAAAATGGATTGGTGTGTGTGTGTGTTTGAATAGTTAAAAAAACATTCAATTTTTATTGATAGGGAGATGAGCTGATTAGTTTTTTGCAAAGACAGGTCCAGTCGTTACGGAGATACGGAGCAAAGAGTGCAAAAAATAGAAATCGGGTTTTAGCGAGAAATCCGATTTGAATCATCCAAAAAATATGCAATTTGTAATAAATGGGAGAAGTGGTGATTAGTTTTTAGCAAAGGCAGGTCCAGCCATTTCGAAGATTCAGAGCTAAATGTGCAAAAAATGGCAGTTTTTGAGAGAAATAAGCATCCAATTTGAATGATTCAAAAAACTTTCTGCTTGTTTTGACGAAAAAATTGCTTTAGAAAAAGGGTTTTATTTAAATTTTTTTTTTCAAAATTTTTTTTTTTTTGTATTTCGAAAATAGGTTAGGGCGGGGCTAGTTGAGCATAGGGGCAAGTTGAGCAATCGAAATATCTCGAAAACTAATCACCGTCCGTTTAGGCATTATATGGCGGAAAGATAGAGGTTTGGGAGAAATAAACATCCCGCGATTGCTAGTGGCCGCTGGACAAATGAGTGAGGCTCACGGCCGTTTTGTTTATTTTGAGACCAAAAAGTAAAAAAGTCATTCAGCACGAGTTTTCGTCTGGTTTAGTCAAATGTTATTTATTTTTAATGAGGTAAATGTTATTCTTCTATATAATTATAGAACTTTTAATATGTACAGAGATTCTGGGTATAATTCTCACGTTTTTTTTATAAACTCACTTTTATTTTGAAATTCCGAGTTGGGGTTAGTTGAGCATAGTTGCTAAACTTGTTCTGTCACTAAGACAATTACCATTAACTTCCAGGAATTTATTATTAATTTTAAGATTTAAGCTAAGTCTATGAGTAATAATATAAAGAAATAATGATTTTGAACAAAAATTCTAGATATAATGGTAAAATAATTCCTAAGATACGATATTGTTTTGTTGATTCTAATTTTGGTTAATTATTCAAAGAAAATTACTATAAGATTTGTTTTCTCTGTCAATAAAGACTATAAATTTAGAGCTGGTTATTAAAAACTTATTTTATTTCATCACTAATCGACATTGAACCTATAATTTCATTATATTTTCTTAGTGCTCAACATGCCCCACCTATGGGGTACATTGAGCATACTTGACTTTTTGCATTTAAACAGCTGTAGCTTTTAAATTTTACTTATTACCAAAAAATAGTATTAACACTTTTGTTAAGCGATAAACAACAAATCCATCAAGCCGTATACCAATTTATTGAGACTTTTCATTGAGAAGCTACGTCCGTTTAAGTAAAAATTTGCTCAACTAGCCCCGCCCTACCCTAATTCAGATTTCAATTTTAATTCTATTTAAAGATCTATAGCCCACTTATATACTTTGTGAATAATTTTATCTTTGTAATTCAGTTTATATAATTCTTATAAATATTAGACAATATTACAGTATTTATAATAATTTATTTGAAAACATTTAATATTTCTTGAACATTTCGTTACGCTATGGCAATTCAGCAATTTGCCTCAAGGCACGATACCATAACTGCTAGTTAAACTTTTAGAATCGGTTTAGCCCTTTTTAAGAAAACGACGACAAAAGATCATAAATTGACTCACTCACACACATACTTTTTTCAAATATGGCCTCAAACAATTCAGAATTACTTGAAACCTTGAGAAAACAAAGTTAGCGAATCGGATTTTCTAGGAAAAACATAAACTTGGAAAGATAATAAACACATCAAGTTTTCAAATTGAAAATATATTTTTAAAAAGAAATCTAATAATGCAAACTTACTTTTCATGTACCTCACAATCTCACAAGTATTTATTGTTATGAAAGGTATTAAAAATTATTAGAAATAGTCTAAAAAAGATGACACAATGAACTTAATATTTTTTAACTTTATATAATAGAAAACTAGATTTACACTACAAAACTGAATCAAGGCAGTTACAAACCGATTCAAGACAGATTCTTGTTAGCTTGATTTATATATTGAATAATGACTTATTAAATAATAACATACCTCCATCAGAGCAAAAGGCATCGATCCTGAAAAGGCCAAACTTTGTACTCTACTTTGCATGGCAAGACTAGCCGTTTGGCTCAATGATAAATCTAAGCATCTGGTAACAGCTTTCTGAAGTAAATTCTCATGGGCCTGAAAATTTATATTATAATGAATAATAAATATATTATACTAAAAATAAATACGTTTTTAAATAAATCAGAAAAGTTGTTTTTTCATAGAATATCTATTTTTTACCTTGCTATTGTCAAGATAATTGTGTTGAGCAAGACATACTAGAGCCAACTGCAAACAAACATTATCATTGCATTCTTGGGCTAGCATGATGCATTCTTTAATAGCTTTTAAAGTACTTTCTCTAAAAATAATTCATATGTGTTACATATACATCAATGTTGATAGATTTGTAAACAACTTGTCCAGAATTTTGTACAAAATACTAAAAAAAACAAATAATCACAAAGTCAAAAACATAACTGTTTCAATTACTTATACATGTAAAAAAAACATGCAAAATTTTATTTTATAATATTTAACTTTAAAAAATTTGCTAACATTCAGTTCGGTTGCTTTTCACAAAATCTAGTCATTTGATAAAACTCAATGATGATTTTTTTTGTAATTTAAACATGTTACAATTTTTAAATTTCAAAAACTATACAAAAAATGTTAGTTAGAAATCATGCCCTTCAGTTCTTCATAATTAACTGAATGTTTCTTTCTAATTCTTTCAGTTACAATTATGGATGACATCCTCCTCTATCAGATATATAATAATGGAGAAAATTAGCTCCAATTTAGATTGTTTCATAATATTTTAAACATAAACAAAAATGTATCAAATAATTTCGATGTCTAATAAAATCATTATTGAATTGTAAATGATTGATTTTTAATTAAATCCACCTAATTTAATTAATAAAGGCGTTGCAAGCACAACCGTCAAATTGAACAAAGAAATTATTTATGGAAGAGCTCTCCAAATAAGTTACTATATTAATTCTTAGTAATGAACAAAAAAAAAGAGTTTCTTAAAATATACTAATTATATTACAAAATTTCAAAAGTTCATTTGATACATTGGCAATTATGTTGAATATTTTACTTTTGATCAACAACAATTATTGTTAGTTATTTTCATTACATTTTTAATACACTACAAAAAGAAATATTTTGTCTTTAAACTATGAATGCCTTCTGTTTATAAAAAAAATTAAATATTTTTGAGCAATATAAATTTAAAAAGTCAATCAACTTTCATGTAAATATCAATCATTTCAAGTTTCATTTGTATATGCTTATTAATGATTTTTGCTGAATGATATCCTTTTAAATTTGAACTATGTTGTAACACCTAGAAAGCATTTGTTGTAACACATAGAAGCATTCTGCAAGTCATATATTAAAAATAATAATAGTAGTTGGAATAAAAGGTTAAAACTTTATTTTTACCTATGATTAAAATCAGCATGTAACATAGCTAAATTCAATGCAGAGTATCGAAAACCACGGCTCTCTCTTATCCTGTCTTCATTAACGGCTCCCCGATCAAAACAATGATATAGATTATTCATTGCTCCACAATATTCACGAACTCGAAGAGAGTTGAGATAGTTTAAGAAATGCTAAAAATATTCATTTTTATTATTAATAGTTCAAAAATATTAAAGCTTAATCAATATATTTATGATATTTACTGCTTCAGCATAGTCTTTATCATATGAAAGAAATTCATCAACTTTAGTTTTAATTATTTTAGGATCTAGAGCTTCTTTCTCATTATGTAACATGAGGTTGGATTGTTGAGCAAGAAATAAATCACTTTGTCTTCGAGACCATAAGACCTTCTCACTGAAAAGGTAAAAAGAGTTATACTGATTGATACAAAACTTGTTAAGCTCAGTAATTATTAAAGAAGTCAATTTAAAATAAAATGAAATCAAATAGAAGTCTCATATAAATAGAGTCTTAATTACTTAAAATTAATGAATAAGTTTTCATTTTATGAACTTTGCAAAAAAAAATGTATAATTTGCAATAAGGTTTGTTCTACATTATTTAATTCAGAAATACCTTAATCGTTCTTCAGTATTTGGAATATTACAGTCTTCTTCAATGTCCATATCATCTTGTTGCACATTCAATTGATTTTGATTACGTTCAATATAAGATTCAAAAGCTCTTTTGAGTTCAATGACTTTGTGAAAACTCATTCGATCTAGTGCTAGAATAATCCTTCGCATATACAATCCTGAAAAATATCATTAAATATGTTAAGTGGACATCAGAAATAAAACATTTAAGAAAAAAAAATCAATAAGAATGTATATTAAATTTTATAAATCATGATTAAAATTCTAAATTATCAAATGTAAATGTATGTCAAATGTAATGTAATACAACATTAAGATACAAAATTGAACTCGTAATAAAAAATCTGCTCACTCTCAGTAACAAGAGTAATATGAACTATAAATTGAAAACAAAGTTTATTAATTACTATAAAAGCATTGTGTAAATCAATTCTAGCATGAGAGCATATAATTTACTATTTTTATCTATACGTTGAAATATTTCAAGACAGTTCATGTTCCATATAAGAAAATAAGAATTTAATTTGTTCATACTCATATATAAGTGCTTTTATTTTTATATACTTACATTTAAAATATCAATATTATTGGAAAGGCAATATTCTAGTTTTTAATTTCAGAATTTGGTGCAATTAATTTAAAAAATCTTAATTATAAATTTTAATCTTCACAATAATTCAAGAAAATAAACTTTATTTGTAGAAAAAACTAAAATACACAGAATAAACTATTTAAGTTTACGTATAACTATAATTTAAGTTTAAGTATACATAACCATCAAACGAGACAAAACCGAAACTTTCACAAGAAACATGCAAAAACTAGATAAGGACTCGCAAGTCCTCGGAGAAGTAAGCAAGCAGCCTTTACAATAAACTACCGGACGAACTAAAGACAATAAACTACCGGACGAACAAATGACTGACCTAAACAATTTCAAAATCAAATTGAAAAATTGCATAAGAGATAAATGAAATAAATGAGATAAAATTCCTTATTTTAAATACTATATTTCTTCTGTTCTGTTAAAATATTAATTACAATTAAGTATAAGTACGTATGAATGTACGCAAGCGTTCTGTGTATATTTGTGTATATAATATTAATAAGTAAAAATATATAGATGTCTTAATGTAAGTCTGTTACATAAAATTTAGATTTATTTTTGTTATAATTGCTGTGATCTCTCATACCAGAACAATTGTCTGACTGAAATACAGTATGAACGAATTATATCAAATAAATAAATAAAAAAAAAATAAATAAAAATAAAGTTTACATGTAGTAAAAATCCTTTAGTCCGACGAGACAAAAAACTGTGACAAAAAATAAAAATTTGATGATTTCTAGTTATTTCTAGTATTTCAAACCACCCCATAAAAGTTCTAATAGTCCTCGAGCGTTTTTATTTGCTATGAAGGCAAGTTTTTAAAGAGAAACGAATTTTTTAGAAAAATGCCAGACTATCGAACATTCCGGACTGGTGTGTGCCAGACTAGAGGCCTTCTACTGTATTAAATTTAAAGAATGCTTACCTAAACAGCTGCTTTTATTTATAATACATGTTGCAGTACTATTTAAAGGATCCACTATTAACTTATCAAGCATTAAACTAATATCCAATAATTTTTCCACATTACATGTGTAAATCTTCATTATTTCCTTATGAAAGAGTTTTATGTGATCCGGATGTAAATTGTTTTTACTAGCAGTCAGTAAAGAGCAGAAATCTCTAAACACCATATCAGGACACTGCAATTATAAATATACACGATTACTATGTATCTAAATTAACAATCATTGAACATAATTTTAAAATACTATAAAAAATCACTACATACTTGAATTAATTTAAGAATAAGCATATTGAACGCTCTTCTGCATTTTGGGCTTAAAGGTTGATCTGCATTTGCTAAAAAATATTATGGCATTAGATGTTTTTCAATTAGATAAATATATTAATGCTTACTTTGTATTAAATTACAATATTCTCTTATAAATATTAGCACCGCTATTTTATGTGGGGTGATATTTTCATAGCATTTTCTCTTTGTGTCAACTCCATCATTACTGTCTTTTGCGGAATTCATAATGAAGAATACTCAATGATAATCTAAGTAATTAACAGTGATATAAACAAATGTATTATAACCATTTATATTTGTTCATTTGTCTTTCATTTAACCAAAGCAAACTGACAAGCAACGTATCTCATAATATGACCGGCATGTCAACTGTCAACTAACATAAAATTTAAGGCTAGGCACACATGACATTAGTCAGCTAAAAGTCGGATCTGAAAAAAATTCTCGTCGCTTTTAATTCTTAATTAATATCGATATTTGCATGTCCCAACTTCCCTATATTTTCTGATATGCAATGCTTTTTGATGCATAATGTATATATATATTTCATTATAAATAGATGTTTTCAAATTTTTAACAACTTCCTACAGGATAGAAGTTTATGCTTTCGGCAGAGAAGCTGATTTGCCAATTTTATAGTTCTAAATGACGTTTTAAGTCATTCTGAATGGTTTAATACCAAAATTGAAATAAGGAAGAAGGGAAAGGAGTGAGTCAAAATTCTACTTTTCGTCGACGCTGATATCTAAAATTATAAATCCATTTGATAAAACTCGATAAGAACTCACGATTCCAGTTTTATGCTGAAGCGTTGTATAATGAACAAGCGTATATTTATCGTTATCTTTATACTTATTAATTTATGTGAACAAGTGCAAATTTATTCAAAAATCTTGAACCTGTATAAAAAATTAAAAAACCATTTGCAAGATATCAGTTGGAAATCGTGCAGATTAATTTTTAAAAATCTGGTCATACTATAAAAACATGGCAGTGTAGAATTTATATTAAAAGTTTATGTGAATAATAATGCAGAAGGATAAAAACAGACTGACTGATTATATATTCTTTAACTAATCACATGCATTACAAATATCATTAACAATCACTTGTTTTTACATAAAAACAAAAGACAAACATATATATACATAAACATAGTAGACACAGAGCATTTAGTATCAAACATCAACAGGCAGCAAGAAAACGGCCCGGCCGATCTCTACCAAAAACTAATTAGGTCGATTCCCAACCAATATCTTTCGGACGATTTTTGAATTTTCAAAATCGATTCAGAATTGCGGGCTAAAACGTGGACAAAAAACTTTTCATTTCTCTGCTATTTACAAAGAAACGGCTTGGCCGATCGTCGCACAAAAGTGACAAACAATAGTCCTCATCGAGATACATCGAATGGCTTTTAAATTTTTGAAATCGGTCCAGCCGTTTTCGAGAAAACGGCGATTTACGGCAAAAAATCTATTGGTGCACACGCACACACACACACACACACATACTTTTTCCAAATTTGGTCTCATTCGATTCAGAATGGCTTGAAACGTCGAGAAAACATAAAATTAGCGAATCGGATTTTTTGATGAAAACATAAACTTCTTCGTTAAGTTAATAAGCATTGTACAATTCAGTTTCCTGAGAATTGTAGTCGCGACATCTATTGATTTCTTTGTCTGCAGCTGAAGCAGGGACATAAACCTCCCAAAGTGTCAAATACAATGCAAAGCAAAAGTTTATTTGTTAGACAAACAATTTCAATGAGTGACTGAAAAATTTAAACTCAAACTTAAATCGTTTTGTGTAGTGTTTATTTTTACACACACAATGCGTTCATTAAATATTAATTGCTATAACGTTATATTTTCATCTAATTAGAATTATCAATTATTTTGCTTTCTAAAAATATCTAGAATTCATTTGTCATTTATCATGCGTATATAGCAATTTAAATTTATTTCTAGTGATTTAGGACATAATTTTTTTTCAAATTTATTTTTTGTGTTCAATTTGCTTCAAAATATGGCTGAACCATCAAAATTATCAATAAAACGCGTTGAAGTATCTTTAATTAAATTTAATGATGTTATTGTTCCCCATCATGTTGATATATTAAATAAACACAAAGATAATATATTGAAGTATAATGCTGTCGGAGATAATGAAAAAGTTAAGAAGGAACAAGTTAATGCTTCTCGAGTAATCAAGCAACTTAAACAAACCCTGTATGAAATTGAAATGATTAAAGAGCAAGTAACAGAAAGCGATCATGCAAAATTTGATAAAAGCACGGAGAAGTCGATTCAATGTGCTAAAGCAGCAATAAATGAATATTATGGTAAATACTTTATAGTTAGATTATTTTAATTTTTACTTTAAAATGTTTCTAGTACCAATGAAATTATATATTGAATACAAAATAATTATCAAAGCCAAATTAGCAGGGTTTTGAAATGATTATTTCTGTAATTAAATGAGAATGAAAACAATCAAGTCAACATAATTATGATTAAAAAAAGTATTTGAAGTGATTAATAGTGTTTAAAATACAAATATAATGTACAAATATGATTCTCTTAGGATTGTAAAAAACTGCTTTATATCTATTAGCAGTCAAGAAGTAACATGAATGGACATATAGGTGAAAGTTTGTATAAATTAAAGTAAAAAGGAATGTTAGAACTCTGATATTTCAATATATATATATATATATATATATATATATATAATTCTATTCTTAGTTTACTATTATTAATAAAAATAGCACTGCAATTAAATTTAGAAAAATATTGTGTATGTGTTTATTCATTTTGATTAGCTCTCAAATATTTTTTTCAAAAACTAAACATATATGAAATATACTATTTTATAATTCCTGAATAATTTACTTTGAAGACAGTGTATCATCAATTAATGAACATGGAAGTTTGCAGAGTGCAGCTTCACAAGAATTTGCAGAACAATCTACTGAGAAATTGCAAATAATTAAAAATTCTGAAAGTAATCTTGAAGCCGAGGAAGAAATCGAGAAATTAGAAAAGTACTACACTTCTATGGAAGATTTACAAAATGAAGTGCAAGAAATACAAGAATTATTTACAGAATTGAATTCTGTTGTCCATAGACAAGGTGAACATGTCAACGTTGTAGAGAATAATATTGAAAATGCTCAAGAAAATATAAATCAGGGAGCGAGGTATATAAATATTCCTAATATATATATATATATATATATATATATATATATATATATTTGTATAATTAATTCTTTTTCCACTGAATGACGGTCTCGATGAAGACCGAAACGTATGGATAAATAAAGTATTTAAAAACTACTTTAGTTTTTTTTTTCTTTACTTGGTGTTATTGCCCGATTCTAAATAACTCATCTAAATATATATCAACACCAAACTCACATATTTCAAAATATATATATATATATCGTAACATGACATGTTTTATGTCTATATTATAATGAATAAACGTATTACCTTAGGCACCTTGCTCTCGCTGCCAAATTCAAACCTGCCTTTTATCCATTAGCAGGTGCCTTAATTGGCACTTGTGTTGGTGGTCCTATTGGCCTAATAGCTGGTTTCAAAGTTGGTGGAGCAGCAGCAATGGGATGTGGAGTATTAGGATTCACTGGAGGCCAAATACTAAAAAAAAGAAAACCTATAATTATGCAAGATGTTGACAAAAAACAGCAATGATTTATCGGTGGAGCCAAAATCATTAAAAATATGGAGAAACATATCTTTTTTATAAAATAAAAACTAATGTGATCATTGGAATATCATAATTTTTGTACACTAATTTATGTTTAAATGCAAAGAATATTAATAGAAAAATAAATTATTTATGAAATAGTATATTTGTTTAGATTTTGCATACCTCTACCTCTTCACTTCAGTAGTGTATTAATTTTTTTGCGGTACCGGTTGGGATTTTGATACTTCTTCATTCAATATTCAGGATCATGTGTTCAACTTTGACTGAAGAGTTCATGTCGAATTCAAGTAAAACCTTTCAAATTTTTACATAAGGAAAGAAACTTGTTAGTTGCATAAAGCTTAGATAATATTTTAAAGAAAAACTATGTGTATACTTGATTTATAGTTTTATTGAAGTTAGAAGACTTTAAAACAAAAACATATCAAAGACATTGTTCCCTCTGATATAATTATTTAGCATAAACAAAAACAGATTTTTTTTAAACAACTTCTAGAAGCTATGTAGTCACAACTACATAAATAACATGTTATTACATTTTTAAGTAAATTGATTTTTTCAACAGAAAAATATATCCATAAATTCGATATGTGCTGTGATATAAAAAATTGCGTAGAATTTTTCCACCATTCTACTAGAGTTCACTGAGTCTGATAATTGTCGAACAGACTGCTGTAATTTTAATAGGAACTATGTTCATCGAGGCATAATAAGACTAGATAATATATGTTCCCACCGGTAGACACGCGGTCCGGTATAGTGCAGTAATTGGAGAGTAAAAAAAGGGTTAACCTCTGAATTTTTTTTACTGTACTCCGATTTGCACAAAGTTTTGGAAATAGGCTAAATTTACACTTAAGTTAAAAAAAAAAAACAATTTGCAATCCGCCTCCTTTCCCCAGGGGGGGGGGGCTTAATGCCAACGCTACCCGCCAAGGTCGCTTTATGTATAAATTGACATTGAGACATTTAATCGCAAGAAAACTCTAAACTCTCAAACTCTAAAGTGTTTTCTAATACATTTACCTTACAATAAAATCTTGTTTAATCTCTTGAAAATCCTACAACCCTTGCAAACCACTTTTGAGTTAAAAAAAACTTCTATAAGTAGGTATATTTTTATAAAAATTTATTTTGGTATGACATAAAAAGATTTAAGTACATATACATGGTAATTCCCATATCTATAATTTTTTCAAATCTCAAAACTACCCTTAAATATAACAGTTAATTTTTATGATTACATATTTAAAAATTATTTAATTATAGAATAAGAAATCAGAATTTATCATAAACATCATATACATAAGTCTTCTACTACTGGTGGTACCTAATACTGCGTACTTACACATTGTTACAAATATGGTCACAATTTGACAAAAATGCGTTTAGTTTTTGGGTCATAACTCCTTTAATTCTGACTCCATCACAATTTGTAATATACCATTTAGAAGGTAATTAAAAGGGCTCTGTTTTATTATAAATTTGCATAGTTCTGGTCAATTTTTGTGTGAAAAAAAAATAATACAAAACGATATAATAAACCAGAAAAAGGCCTCTGATTTCTATACTTTTATACGTATCTTTTATTTTTTGAGATATAATGAAAAATAAGTTGGATTTTTACAAAAATCGAAAAAAAATATTTTCATAAAACTGTGAGTTTGTACTAAAGTAGTGAATCCACTAAAATTCATCAAGATCTCTATTATGAAGTTAATTCTAGATGGAATGTGAATAATTATGATTTTGGTGGAAATGATGCTCATTTAATCATATGATTGAAATGAAAAAAAAAACATTGCATATGCCTTTTATTTGCATGATAGCTTTATCATTGTACAAGCGAAAAACTTGTAAAAGCACTTATTTTAAAGCTTATTTTGAGCACTATAAAACCCCATTCCACCGGAATATATAAAATGTAACACCTCGCCGTTAGAAGCCTTTGAATATAACAAAAAACGACTTTGGTCTTTGCTTCCTAGAACACTGTATAAAACGCCAAATTACTAAGATTTTAATTGAGATAATTTTTTTCATTACATGATTCTCGTTGAAAGATATATTTTTGAAGATATTTGCAAAAAAAAAACGAAAAAACCGCCAAAAATATTTGAATATTATGAAACATTTTTTTCTTATAATTATTTCTTCTATCGATATCCGACGTTATTTTGGAAAAGTAAAATTACACCATTGAGAAGGGGTGTCATTCCTTCGGGAGGTGGTGGCGGAGTCCAAATTGTTTTGACTTTTGCTCTTAAGGATAAGATGATCCAAATTCCAAAGTCTCATGCAAATCGGAGCACAGTAAAAAAGTTCAGGCCCAAAACGCACCATTGACCGGAGCAGTAATTTATGTTTATTTATCTATGGTAGTAATGTAGTTGCGTTGTGATTCACCGGTGGGCATGCAGTCTTCAACGTAATTATGAAGAAGATGGCATAACTTCCCAAAGACTTTTTATTGTATATCCATTTCTTGGAGTTTCTATGGCCAAACCCAAATCCTTGCTGTAAATTGGAACGCGATCAACAGAATGCTCTCCTTCAGCTATGTACGTAGTTAGTGTAGATGGAGTATCTTTAGATTTATCTAATTCCTGTACATCTTCAAAATTTGGATCAGCAGGCGGTGGACTGAAAACCTATAAATTAATACCGTTTCAATTAATTTCTAATAATAATATACTTATATGTTATTTAAGTATACGTTATACTTTACTTGATCTTTCAACGAATACTCTACACCAAATATAGGGTTTTGGCTATATACAGAGTGTAGTGAAATTAATTCTTTATAGACTGCTCCAAGTCTATCCTCTGGATCAATTCTGAATCCTAATAAATATCCTCCACTCTGCTCCGAAACGATAATGACTAAAGCTGGACCAAATTTACTATCGCGGACTTGGATCTTATTATAAATAGATACTGTTAGTTTTTATATCAACACATTATATCAATTCACAATTAATTTATTACCGTAACTATTTGCATATATGGCAATGTGATATTGAAGCATTCGTTTAGATCTGCATACCAAACTATTCTAATGTTTGTTATTAGAAATGTTCCTAAATTACCCTGGTCGCTCGAAAGATTCCAAACACCATTTACTTTTTGATACACTTGCTCATTTTTTAAGACTGATAGAGCTCCACTATTTAGAATGGATGCTCTTAATTTCAAGTCTCTGTACATTTTTGTCGACGTGTAGGCTCTTAATAATGGTTAATGGATTAATAATAATAATAATTGTTAATGGATTAATAATAATTTTATACATATGTATATAATATATTACATTAGGGAACGAATTCATTATCTTTAAGCGATATTTCAAGACAGTTTATATAATTATAATAATATAAATCGAAGTTCTCTTCTATATTTCCCAGTTTCTTTAATTTCCCACTTAAAATAATGAGATTGCACATGCAGCTGTTTCAATTAAACATTTTGTTTTGTTTTTTAATTTTAATTTTTGTTTTAATTATGTTGTGCTAAAAATCGGAATCAGGTATCACTAAATTTCCGATTAATGAAAATAAACCATCATTTATTTAGGCGTTAACAAATACATATTTTAAACTTACACCATGAATGAATTTATGCTTGGAAGCATTTTAACAGGTACGGATGTTTCACCCAAGTATGGAAAGTATAAGAAAACAGTCTATTTCTATGTTGGATACAAATGTGGAAACAAAAGGAAATTAAATCGAACCAAGAAATTAGGAAGAAAATGCAGGAATGCAACGTGGACTAAAAGTTGTGAAAATATGTATTCTCACACCATGACTTCGATCATGAGCTATCATTCTTTAAAAAATTAAAATTATTTAACTTACTTATGAACACCAATCACTAAAGAAAAATGTTTTTTGTCCAATAAACTAATATCTGTAAAAATAAATTCAAATTTGGAAGACCCATTAGCAGCCATTATATGCAGAGCATCTGTCGTTGCTCTTAGTTTTGATATAACTGTTTTGATACTCATGTTAATTATGCAGTTATATCCTATAGCTGCAATTAAACATAACGAATTAATTAATTAAACAAAAACTATTTCTGAGCATTATATACACAAAAAGGCTCACTCAAATTAACACGAGGTGTAGCATGAGAATGCCACATTAATCTGATATTTGTTATTAACAAACGTCCCTTATCTCCGCTATTTCCTTTAGAATCTTCAACAGCATCCATTCGATCTACCAATTTTTCACCGGATCTTAATTTAAGAATGCTGTGGAAATGCCCAAAATATTATGTTACAAAAGTATAATATAATTCCAATTGTAGTAATTTAAATAATATCAATAAAAAGGAGACTATAATGAATAATTTAAATTTATATTATTATTTATCAATATTACTTGATGTTAATAAATTAGCAGTTGTAATAATTATTGAAATTAAAAAAAAATATATATATATATAAATAGTAATAAAAATGCTCTGTGCGTAATAGTCCAAAACGGTTATAATCATTTTTTCATTGAGATTGTTGATTATTTGAAATTAATAAATTAAATGCCAGTTTTTATTTTAACGACTTTGAAAGTAATACATATTAACTAATTAGTATTAAATAAAAATATACGATGTAGGCGGTAGAGCGAATATCTATCTTACTTACGAGTAGGGAATGTCAAAACGAATTTCTCTATCTTCCCAAACTAATGCAAATTCAGTCATTTTATACAAGTATAATTATTGTTAAATATTATTCAAAAATGTCAATTGACCCTCAAAAATACAAAATATTGTTACCTTGCCAACCGATAATCTAAACATTATTTGCGCATGCTCTTGCTTTGAAAAGTTTACGCATTTATGAACTTGTTCGTTGTTCATCAATTGTGTCGATGAATTTTTGTTAAACATCATAATTCTTTCTAAAATTTTTAAAAGTTTTATACCTGGAATAATTTTTGCATATATTGTTACTTAAGTAACAGTCAATTGATTTTGGTAATTTATAATATTTTTGTTAACATATAGGCGAATCAAGTAATAATAACAATTGTATTGTATTATTATATATATTCGTAAATATTATATTCTCAATATAAAAAGCAAATGTATAACAAATCAAATAAATTATTGAAAATTAAATCAAACTTCATTATAAAATTAAAACTGTCAATTCAACATATATCCTAATACTAAAATGTAAGTAAGTATTACAAAATTGTAAAAAAAAAATATTTATTTTATGTGGATTTTTTTAGTGGAAATATAAAAAATAATGTTATTATACTCTGAAATGTTTTGCTATCATTATTTTTCATTAAATTTTTCATCAAAATTTTGATAATAATAATTTTACTAGCGATTAAATGAAAATATATTGAAATGAAGATATATTCTTCCGCAATATATCCTGTTTGTAATATATATCTGATATAAATATATATCTAATATCCGTCAGAAACTTTCCTTCTCCGTTTTGCTAGTGGCTCCTTATTAGCATTCACAGACGACATTTGCGGAACATCAGACTCGTTTGTTGGTTTTCTTTTAGGCGCAGCACCACCTAAAAAAATTTTATAAGTATATAATAAAAAAATAGTATCACAAATTTATATTCTTATTTTCCTAATTAGTAAGATTTTATTACGAATAATTGGATAACTGAACTTATAATTATAATTATTATCATTAATTATTTATTTAATAAATACTTAGTTGACTTTTTCATTGAAATACTGACACTTAACTATAATTTGAAAACAGATTGATTAGCTCGTATTTTTAAATATTTGCAGACCTAATTAGGTAATTAGAAAATGTTAACATTTTCTATGATATCTTCTTAATGAAAACGTTGATTTATTTCGTGTATTAACAGAATTTTTATAGATAAGTTTCAAGCTAAAATTTTTATATATCTCACAAACACCATTTCACACCTTTGCGAAAAAACAATTTGAAATTTGCAATCCAAAATACATATTTTTGTAGGGAACGGCCAAATGGGTATAACGTGAGATATTATATATTACCCGGTATATCACGAAGAGAGTTATCAACACATGAGTCCGTATTTTTTGCTGTTTCTGAAAGTTCGCCATCTCGAAAATATTGTTTCAAAAAAGGAGCGAGGGCCCTCTTTTTGACTGTTCTTTTGACCCTGTAGTTCAACAAACAATATATTAATGAATAATTACATATAATAAATTTAGTATAAAGAATTTGTATTATTATTTGTATTACGTCATTGATTGTTGTTTTGGTGAAACTGGTCTAAGAATTCCGAATTGATCAATTCGAGCGAATAATTCACTATGAAAATTTTCAGGAATCCCAAGCTCTCGTACCATCCCATCTAAAGAGAATTGAACACGATCTTTGCAGAAAGCCAATATTCTTCGCAAGAAGGCTAAACACTAAAAACAATACATATTATAAATACTTATAGAAGAAATTATACAATTATTATTCTATTATTTTACTTTTTATTAATTTTTACATACGTCTCAATTTTGTTTTATTATATACTTTTTTATATACAAAATCCAGTATATCATTGTTCAATATAAATACTCACGATTCTATCATGTTTGCTAGTTAGTGCCATAATCATTTCATCGTTACAAATACGCGAATGATTATCATTGCAAATGCAACAGATGTGGACATAGTCTGCCGGAAGACGCGATAGGAATCCATAGCAAGCTCCGTGGCTCCAAAAATTGCACCCACAACATAATATCTAAAGTTTGAAGTAATAAAATAAATTCTTATACTAAAAATCATAAAAATAGGTTATTTTGAATTATTAATAGTTTTAAGTTGTTTATAAAATAATCGATGAAAAGTTTTTTATCTGTCCGGAAAGAGGTTTATATTATTTATAATACCCTATAAGCAATGCTTAAAGGATTACGAGTAAAAAGATTCACCAGCATTATCTCAAAAACAAGTAAAGTATGGAATATTTTGATGAAACTATGTTAAAGTAGAAAACATAAGTTGTGTAATCTGCCATCAATTGGTAATTATTTCTAAAGATGTAAATAATAAAAAAATAGTAAATACAAAAATAAATTAAGTTAAAATAAGCAATTTTACAAGAGATAAATCAAATTATTAGTTACTATGATTATAATTATTTTGGGCAAAATCAGGGTTATATACAATGTGTTCTATGTAAAAACGCCCATGAAATTTATATTTGTCATTAGTTGAATAATGGAGAATTTAACTGTGCAATATACCTCTAGCATTGAAAATAAGACATTGGAAACATATTTTTATAATTAGGGAATAGTTAACTGGAAATTTTACTAATCGTGATTTAATAGTTGAGGGTTGTGATAGAGTTCTTTTGGTTTAGAAGACAGTACAATTACTGTCAATCAAATTAAAACTTTGTGCCCCGACGCACTCTGTATAAAATCATTAATCTATTTAAAAAATAATTCAATAAAATAAAAATTAAAAAATGGTCAGCTTAAAATAATATAAAATAGCTTTTAATAAAAGACAATTTGCTGCTATAAATAATAATAGTACCTTTTTTGTTGAACTTAAAAAATTAAAAACTACTTGTTTTTTTACTAAAGTTTCTCAAAATATTTTAGATATTAGTGAAAAATGCAAAAATTCAGCACATTGAATTAAGTAATTTAAACTCACCATAACAGCGTGTTCATCATTGTTCTCGCAAACGCATAATATTTTCACATCCTCATATATGTTATCGCTATCTATAGTTATATAGAAAGTTAATAAATATTTAAACCATAACATAAGCCATTATTATAACAATTTGTCCAATATTTTAACGAATCTAATATTTTTGAACAAATTTTTAATTTCAATTATAGAGAAGCATAGATAATAATTAACCACCTTCAAATCATATTATGAACTTCGTACCTTTGTCATTATCCATGACGACATCTGAAGGAGTAGCTTTATTTTTATTATCATAGGTATAATTGGTATCCATAGGAGACCTCTGCACGTCCCGCTCTACAATATTAATTGTTTTATTATGGAAGTTTGTTAGATTAGTAGCTTTGCTGACTGCTGATGGAATCATTGAGCAAGAATTTGCATAGATTGGTCGGGGTTGGCGATTTGTAACCGGAGAAAACATCTACAAATATATATATATAATATGCATAAATATCAAAATTGGCTTTTTTCTTGTCTAGCATTTCTAAACTATATATCAATTATTATTTAACTATATCAATAAACATAAAAAAGAAAATGAAATGAAAAATTCCAATTTCTCATTAAAATGCTGCCATATATGTAAAATTTTTATTTGGCACATCATTCTTCATTATACGAATAATTGATAGTATCTCAATGCCTTTAATTTGAAATCACCTCGCCAAGAAGTTATATAACTACGTTTTTGAGCACAAAATGTAAAGCAGTGCTTTACATTAATTCATAGAGAATATTATCACTTGAATGAATTGATTTATTTAATAAATATTTGTTTTTCATTGCAAACAAATTATTATTATTATATACTAAATATATTACTCACTAAATATTAATTATTTCAGTTATATTTTATTATATTAAATACATATATAGTATACATATATGTACCTATTTATCTAAAAATAAGAAACTTAAAATCACAAAATATATTGTAATACTAAAACTTAATGTTCGAGAAATGTCATTTTTTAATTTCATTAAAAATTTGCAAATTTATGTGGTTACAACAAAAGCAAATATATGCTTACCACAGCATCAAGAGAAGTATCATGATAAATACCCATATCTTCAGTCATTGTATTTAACTGCATCATAACTTCTGGACTTTTAGATCCACCAATGCCTGTCATATTCTGAAATATATTTATTATTGCATCAAATTTTTATAGAATATATTGACTATAATTGTAAATTTTGACTTATGTTTAAAAACACTCACAGCGGCCTCCGACGTGTTGCATATATTTTCCGTTTGAGAGTTTTCCACAACTTCACAATTTTCATTTGTCTGTTTACCAGCATCCGAGGTATGAATATCTACATCTACAAACTAAAAAAAATATTTATTGAAAATATTAAAACACTAAAACAGTAATATAATTCAGAAATTGAAGAACATTTGCAATAAAAGCTATATAACTACAATATTTTTAAAATTAATTACCTTAGCAATCGCTCCCATACTAATAGAATGGTATGGCGTGAAGCATTTACCAACTTCTATATTATAAAGATCTGGTGGATACTCAAATGCTTGATATGAGCAAGCCTTAAAACCAGGTGGTTGATACTCATCAGGAGTTCCTATTAAAAAAATAGATTTTAAAGTTCGAGAGTTTTAAATAAAAATAAATACTAAATAAATATATAACAATTTACCATCATAGTATGTTAACATCATGGCTAATGAGCAACCCTTCGGTAATTCTGGCATATTTTTTACAATTTCTAAGCAATTGTATAAACAATCGAAGATATCACTTTCAAGTGTTTTTGCAGATATTTTGGATGAGTCGATCTTTATGAGCCTTAAATAAAATAATAAATTTTACAACTATTTTTTTTTATTATTACATATATTCACATATATTCATGAATATTGTATCATTTTTTATGTTCTAAATAGATGTATTTTATAAAAAAATACTATTACTTCTTACAAATACTAAAATAATTCACATAATTAACTAATAATTTGAGCAATATATTAAACATTTTTCTTTGGTACCAATTTTTTGAATCGCAAAATGTAAGTGACTTTATTTTTAAATATTTGCTAGAAGTAATAAATATTAAATACATGTAGTGTGTGTACTACAAGATTTATGTTATATTAAAATATTAATAGAATGCAGATCAGTCAATTCTTTTATTTTTAAAGTAACTCAACTTAAATTCTCTTAAAAAGTAATTATATTGCATTATATATTGGTTACAAAAAAATTTAAAAGCGCCCATTACAATAACTCACGAAATTGAATATTAACAAGAAAAGAATTTTGTCTTTTGTATATATATATATATATATATATATATATATATATATATATATGTGTGTGTGTATATATCTAACAAACTATATCTAAAAAACATTTTTAAAATTTTTGAATTTTTTTCATGCTAATTCCATACGAAACTTTGATTTAATTGCGCACTATCTAAAAGTTAATATTAAAAGCTAAAATTTTTTTATCAATTTGAGCCCCTGGGAGCAAGAAAATTCGAAAATGTTCATAATAAGGACCAACCTAATGTATATTTATATTTTCATTTGATGTTAACATATGTATTAACAAAGTCTCATAACTCAAAAGGCAAAAGCTCAGATATCAAAGGGCATAAATCAATAAAAAACAAATTTTTCTTAAAAATTCATTTTACAATCAGGGCAAGATATAACATATATTATGTGTACTAAGTTTACAGATAACACATATATTGCACATTTACTATTTGTGATATTTTTATTGTTAGTATTCTGTGAAATATTATATTAGTTACAATATTAATGTCTATATTTCTCATTGTTAGTGTAGTGCATTACCATATTCTGATACCATGGATTACTGAAGTTTCTGTTTTTAACTCTAAGATTATCGCCAATACGTATGGATTGTAAAATATTTTTTTTTTTTAAATTATGGTTCTTTATTGATAGTATGCGCGATTATTATGATTACAATACTTCAAATAATATATCAACAAAAAAAAATTAATACCCACATATATGTATATATAATAAATTTTAATTCTTACCGGCTATTGGCGAACGTTGTATTACTTTCAAAATTGCAAGCGTCACTATATTTTATTCTAAACGTATAACTCTCCAACGCTTTACCAATGTCTTCTTGTCCGGGCGGTTGTACAGCGACAATGATGTCTCGCAACTTCAATAGATTATAAAACCAAATTATATTTTGCGACATATACACATTATACATATACAATATATAATTACATATCCTTTTTTCATTGCATCAAAGCATCCTTTAACCCACTTAAGAAATCTCGTTATTTTTGGGTCCGATTTGACATTTTGCAACATATGCATCGTCAAGGTTCCAATTTTACGAGGGCGAAAATATTCCTTTGAATAAATCTTTCGCAGATAACATATAGCACTAATTGAAACTGCAAATAACTGTCTAGTTAAGGTCATAGAATTAGTTTCCGATTTGAAAGCTAGTTCAGGCTTCACGAGTATATTTGTGGTATTCTGTGAAAAAAACGAAAAGTATTTGAAACATTTGTAGAAATAGCTTTATGAATGCACAATAAAATAAAAACTTTACTAGACAATCGACTTCCGTTTGGGATCCTTTTAATAACGTTTTAGTACTCATTTTTAACGTTTGTTAATAACTTTGAAACACACTTCGAAACAACTGTACGCAAAATGGCGATTACGTTGTACATCTCTCGGCGCACCAGAAAATCTAAGCAGTGCAACCAACGAAATAAATGAATAATATAAAATTGACATGTATGTTCTTTTACTAACTTCTCGAATGATAAAAATTCAAACACGGTTTTAGTTTTATTATTGACAAGTCGCGATTAGGTAACCACACAATTATTTTTGTCGTTTTTAATAAGAAACTTCGATTG